AAATCAACCGGTTGTTGATTAAGCTAAATTCGCCTTGGGGATCGCGTCAACTCTTCTCTCTCACCTTCTTTCCGATGGGCAATATTTATGCCATGCATTAATTTTCATGTCTAAAAGGGTTTAAGGCGTAGAGCCGGAATGACCTTGTGCGTAAATTTTAATCAGCACATCCTTAAAAAAAAAAAAATAACCTGGAGACTGGACTGGTTTGGTCTGTTCCGTGATCCGTGACTCGTGACTCATCCGCCCAGGCAGCTCAAATTATAGCCAAGTTAAGATCTTCGCATGCGGAAGATGCTCCAAAGGGAGGACGGACCAGACCAGCAGACCCAGCATCACTTTGATGGACGGACATAATTGGGTTACAGGGGAACGGAATCCCTGCAACTATGCAGCATATGATATCATCTCTCGAGAAATTCTTTAGAAAACCAGAGAGCAGCAGAAAGAGCGACTTCAAGCTAAAGTAAAACGCCCACAGTCGCCCGTCAACCGCAAAAGAAACCCCGTCATTGTCATCTTCATCATCGTCATTAGCAGCAGCAGCGGCAGAAGCAGCATCAGATACGGATACAGATACAGCAATGTGATATAAAAATTAGCAAATTGTTATTTTTATAATTTAATTGAAACGCCAACGAGCCAAAAAGTGCCAGAAAGCCAAACAAAAGGCAAGAGCAGCACACGAGTCGTAGCCGAAAAATTATGCAAATTTCAGGGCACAGCCAAAAGCACAAACAAAGAGAAGACATCTGAAAATTAACATGATAATCTTTACTTCTTCAGTTCTCATATTTGTAGTGTTTTCTGTATCTGTATCGGAAACGTACGCTTCGGCTCCCAGCCCCGATATATAGAATGGTGCACGTTTGGCTCAGACTTTCGTATGCGCATTCATGCGAATATTCAGCGCAAATCATTCATGCGATTTCGGCGTTTCCATTGCCATATTCATTCGCTTGCTCTAGATTTTTACTGAATTTGATAAAGAAATTTATTGAAAAGAGAGCGAGATCCATTTAAAAACCATTTCAAACAGCTTAACCTCATAAATTGTTAGCTTCTTGCTAAAATATAAAATTATTCGTAAATCAATGATGGTAGTAGTTAGTAAGCCAATGTTTAAGCCAATCTCAGAGCTCTAAAGCTCCACAAATTTATGTTCTTTGTGCTGGAACCCTTTCTCATAATTGTTGCCATCTCCCAAGACATAATGTGTGAAAACAAAAGAAATAAATTCAGCAAAAAAACCAGAAACCCACTCTGACTTTTATGCAATTTAACCATCTGCCAACACCATCCAAGATAAATGTTTCTTAAACCACTAAAGCCGCACAAAAAAACAATGAAATCTGCATCCGAGAGTGAGAAAACAGAGGAAACCCTGCGTCTTGTCAACTTGCATATAAATTTCGTTTGGCCATAACCAAAAAGAGGAACTCAACAAAGCTGAATGTATGTATATAAAGTGGGTAATAAGCGCCATTGCGGTTTTAAACGACCCAAATTCGCAGGGCCTAAATTTAAGTGGAAGAAACCCAATGTCAAAACAGTTTAATGCCACAAAAAAAAAAGTAGGTGGTTAAGTGGAGAGAACTTTGGTAGCTATCGGATGGTTCCTCCGAGAAAGTGCAACCCACCAATGTTTTTTCCATTTCCCGAAACTCCAATTTATCAATTTCATCTACGGGAAAACGCATTTGACTTATATAATCCCCTAAACCCGGCGAACTCGCGGGCACTTGATGCTTCGCCAGCGAGTGGGACTCATCCACAACCACAAAATTATTATTATTATTTTTATTACAACTAAGCCAACGACGAGTGCCAGAGCCAAGAAATATGCGTGGGAATTGAGTTGAGAAAACTTCATGTTTACAAATATATGTACAAGCCAGGCAAAGGCACTGGCAATAGCAATAACGAAAAAGATGAAAACGAAAAACGTAAACACAAGGCAAAGTCTGGGGGCATCAAATGAAGTTGAACAATTTTGCTACTGTTTGTCCCGAAGTGTAAGGTAAAGTGCCACCTGAAGTGGCCCGAGATCCGAGACCCGAAGAGGCCCAGCCACCAAAGAGTAGCAGAGTCATCAGCGCGTTTTGTGGTCGTCATCATCGCCAATGGGCCACAGACCTCCTCCCTGCCAAACCCCACACAAATATTCCTGGAGCTGTTCTGCCTGCTCAGCCACATAATCTCATCTCTATTCCTTTGGCCCCCGGAGACTTGACCGTGAAATATTATATTTCATGGGCATGCATATTTTATATTTTAATTAGGACTTGCCCGGTCTAAGCATGAAAACACTTTTATTACAACGAAAATTAACCTGGCGAGCGCGAAAAGCGGTAAGATTATAAAAAGGTTGCAAAAAGGTTACTGGAGATTAAATGAAAATTTGCAATGAAAAGCCAAAAAAGTAATGAAGGCGCTGAGAGGTGTAGGAATTTCAGAGAAATATGTATTGTTTTAATATCTAACATAAAAACTTTGTAAAATTATATTTTTTCTTTTAAATAAATTTAGTTTCCTTGGGTAATAAATCTAATTTTAATCAATTCAATGATCACTTCAAATGAATATTAAATAAACCTTTATTTTTTTCAAATTTAACATATTTTAGAAATTTTTAAAAATACAATTTCCTCTCTCTGGGTGGCTAATGAACTCATTTGACCAATTCCGCTTTCAGTTTTTTCTTTCACGGCTTCCTGTACATGTTTTTGGGCCTGGCTCAAGAGATTAGAATAGCCTCTTCCGTTCCTTGTTTCACCCAACTAACACAAGGGAAAGGGCTCAAAAAAAATAAAACCATAAACGTCTACAAATTCTGAGAAAAAGTCTATGTTTTTGTTTTCAGTCTCGTTTGCTTTGGAAATTGGTTTCTGTCGGTGATCCAACAAAAAGCGCTTCAGGCTTTTTGGGCTGAGAAATGCGAGACAAAAAGAGCTACTGCTAAACATTGAAAATAAAATGAAACCCACAAAAAAACAAGAAAAGAATCATCCGCTTTTTTTAATAATACAACTGAAATGAGTTGTGTTAAAGAATCAAAAAATTATTCTCTGTGATGAGCGCCTATTCAAACGCTAAAAATGTTCCTCAAATTATGATTGTTCGCCTCTCCAACCTGTCCCATGTCCATCAAAGTTTTCTTCACATTTGACTTGGAGAGTTGACTTTCGAAACACGTGTGTCTCCAAAGACACAAAAAATTATTATTATGCATATCATAATATTCATCGCATCGTAATCTAAAAGTAAACCTGTGAATATGTCATTCTTTTATGAACAATTTGTAGACATTTAAATGCTCAGATCGTAAATCTATAGAAAGTCCATGTTAAAGGGATTGGATTGGGGTTAAGTCAAGGGGGAGCCCACGAAATTATCGACCTGCTGAGCGTTTTACGATTTGACAAAGACAAGTATGTATCTCGGGAACGGACATAAAAGAGATGTTTTCCGAAAAGAAGCGATAAACCGAATTTAAAGTCAGATGATGGTTTAAGAAAATGAAATGAGTATCCAAAATAGAAAAAAGGTTATAATTATAAAAAAAGGATCTATAGGTTTTACGTATTAATTATTATTCTCATTTAAACTGACTACTCTGTTATTATTTTTATAATATACATAGAACAAAGTATATCTTAGTCACAGTTTTTAACTTTATACCCAGAAATTCCTTCCTTTAAAGTGGGAGTTTTTCCTCTATGCAAATTCCAATGCCCAACGGGAAAATAAAAACTAAAAAGAGCCATTATAAATTAAGTTGTCCCAAAATGTCGTCTTTAGCGCCAAATGAAAAATACAAAAACAGAATAAAAATGCGCATTTCCCAATTTTCAGCTTCGTTTTCACTGCGTTTCCACACGAAAAAGCCGAAGAAACGGGAAGAATTCCTGTCTGGCTAAGACAGGGAGCTCTCTACAAATATCTTGGATATGCATGAGTATATATATATATATATATATATATATATATAGCATACATATACGCCTATATATTTATATAGAACCTATTTTCATCTAATTTCTTTCATTTCTATCCACATGCCTTGCTCTATTTTTGTGAGGCGCATTTTTAGCGCTGTTTTCGTCGCCGTCTTCCTCTTTCTATAACTCAATTTTCATTGCATTTTCATACTCCTTTCCCTTTCCCTCCCTTATGTCTTTGTCTTTTATCTATTTGGCTTCTTTTCGGTTTTCGGTTTTGGTTTTTATGCTTTTTTATTTGGCCTGCTCCATTTTTGTGTACTTTGTTTTCGTTTGCGCTTGTCTGGCAAACATTAAAAAAGAAACAAAAAAAAAAAATCGAAATAAAAGCTTTTTCCCCATTTTATAATTTTGGGGCAGTGTAAACGTATATAGTTTGGCATTCTTTTCTTTCCATTTCACTAATTTAAATGGTACGCTCTATAAAATATTCCTTTCATTCGCCATAAATTGTCGAGAATGCAGAGATGCCGTGCACTTTGAACTGGCGCTAGGCCATTAAAAAGAAAAACTTTATATTTGGCTTACAACTGGAGCGCATAAAAGTCTGACATCTGATTTATAGCCAATCCGGGTTATCTATGATTTTCATTTATTTTTATTAAGAGCAAAAAATGCACTGAAATTTTGAGTTGCTACAAAAAAAACGTATTTCTTATATTTTAAATGTATTCACCCATAAATCAGCTACTGTTTAAGCCCACAATCAGTTTATAATCGTTATATCCCGCTATCAATTGAAAGGCTTACATTATAATCGTGTAAGCTGCTCACCACTTTCTTTATCCATAAATTATCCGAAAGCAATGACCAATTAATAATGTATAATTCAACGCAGCACAGTTAACTTTAAGGGTGTGGCAAGAGATACGTGAAATTCCAGTCAGTTCAGTGAGTAACATTTGCTTACATACAAGTGTTTAAAGTTTAAACAAATTGGCAATCGGCTTAAAATGCACGTTTTAGTTCCGCCGAAAGAAGAGCCAGATATTGACTTACCATAAAAAGCAGTTCAGCCTTGCCGCCTCGATTTTTTATGGCCACATTCAAGCCTGAAAGATAGATAAGAAAATCAAGAAATTTATTAGATAAAAGAGTTCAAAGTCATAACTGAAGTTAAAGAAACAAAAGAAGAATTTAAAGAATTAATCTTTTGGATTTTTATTTAGTAATACAGATTATAAACCAAATATACTTCTTTCCAGTGATAGACTAAGGCGAATTTACTTGAAATGTAAAGCCTAAAAAAGTTACTTTGTGGAGAAAAATATTAAATATATTATTAGTAGCCCCATTAATGTCCGACTCGAACAATATTTTTGCAATAAATAATATTCAGATTTCATATATTTTTATAAATATTTTCAAAATTAATTACAGACTGCATAATTTGCTTAGCCAAAAATGCGTAGCATCACCCTCGGCAGCTATGCAGGCGATTTTTAAATTTTTACACAGCCAAGAACTGAAAATTCCTTAGGATCAGCCGGGCAGGGCGAAGCAGCATAAAAATAGTCACTAAATTCGCTATTTCTGTTGCTGGTTTTTGTTCATTTGACAGCTCGGCAAACGACAAACAAATTACAGAAAATTATGCAGGCAGCAGGGTCGCCAGAGTCGGGGAGATAAGTATCTATGGGGGAATTAATAATGATTGAAAGCCTTGCTGTTGGATGGGTTCGTTCTCAAACAATTAAAATTGATGAGGAGGAGAATGGAAGGAACTATTCATCAAATTGCCACGGGCTAAAGCCAAGCAAAAACCAAAATTCTCGACAAATCTGCAAAGAAATATTTGTTTCTTCGCGGTTTCGGTTTCTGTCGCTTTATTGGGGCCGTTCTCCCATTCCCATCGCCAACCCCATCCCCATCCCCAACCCCATACCCACACCGATCCACCTCGGTCCAAGTCTTCCCAGGCCGTTTCAATTAAGATGAACAAAACTTGGTCGTCGTCATTTCGGTGTGCTAAAATAAACATTTTTATTGCCCGCATGGCGCCAAAGCGAAGATGTATCTTGTATCTTGTATCTGGAAGCGCAGCGCCAATGTGAAAAGCAGAATTAAACGAATTCGCGGACGAAAGATTCGTGTGGCCGTGCAATTTATTTCAATTGCCGGTTGCTAATAAATATGCAATTAAAACGCACAGAAACATTTCTAACGCACGCAAAGTGATTGAGGAAATTTCAGACCGCACAGCGATCTATCTACTCCCAGATCCATCTTATATACAGATATTGTATTCATTTGAAGATCAAACGCTGGGTGAGTGATGTCAGCTCAAAGGGTTGGGATCATTTACCTAATTGATCATAAAAAGTCAACGAGCCGTGCCGAAAATATGCAATTCTAGAAGATGACAAAAAACACCAGACACTTGTAGAATCTCCATTAAAATAGGAAAAACTATTTATCGTCTTAATAATTAATCTTTCAGAATTATGCAATACGCTTGACAGAACACTTTCCCCCTCTTTGAAGCACTTTTAAAATTAATTGACAGAATGAAAAACCAACTTTCTATAACCAAATAACCCAGTTAAGACCCAATTCAATGGCACGTATCTGGAGATGGGGGGAACCTGGGCAATATGGTCAGGCGTCTAGAGAGACTTTCTTCGTTTCGTTCATCAAAAATCCATAAAGCCAGCGAGACATTTTCACCAGAAGAATGGCCATAGAATGAACCGATTGTGTCCGTTGATGTCTGTCTTTATTCATATCCCCACCAACCCCCTAAATGTCTGTATGAAAAGTTAATCAAAGAACCGAATGCCCAGGTAGGCATACAAATTAGAAAACGCTTTACAAAAATGCAAACAATTACAGAAGTCGGGGGAAAACTTCGTGACAAAATTACTAATTGTGTCTAAATAAGACGAAAGCAAATAGAGACAAGCCCGACTGATGACGAGTTGAAAGTTGTTCCTGGCGTTGCTTTGTTATTATTTTTATTTCTGTTGTGAAGAATAACAAAAATAAAACTACAGAAATAGCAGACCCAGAAGAACACAGCCGAGCCATTAAGTCAAAACAAATGTATGACATTGCAAGCTCATCGAGACGAAAGCTGCATGGAACAAAGAAGCACAGAATGTCAAGTGCATTTGGCTTTGGCTATTGCTTTTGCCATTGGCTTGATGGACAAATGGTTTCTCTTGTCTGGCATAGCTTTCCATACTATAATTTACAGCTTTACAATTGCATTTTACCATTATATAGTTGGCTTTCAAAGTCGCATTTGTCGATAACATGGTTCTTGGCCTTTCATTATTTACGAGCTCACGGAACTAATAAAGGAACGTCTATACCTGCCATATACTGGCGGTTTATGGTGAACAAAGAGGAAGAACTACGAACTACTAACTCTAATTTATATTTTACAACCGAACAAGTTTGCAAAATAAATAAAAATTCCTTATAACAGCAGTAAAATAGAAAGATCTACCTTAAGCCATTCCCTATTTACGGGGGCCCCCAGAAACTTATTTTCTAATCTTGCACTGCAGATAAAGTAATTTCGCCATGATTACAAACTAACAAATGACAAAGCAATGCATTGTGTTTGTATCGACGACAAAAGGCCGTCATTATAGTGTGCCCTAAGCCGGTTAAGACCCCACAACCAGTTAGCAGCCGAGGTGGTGCACTAACTAATCACACCTGACTGAGAGATTGAGTAAGTAAACTATGTCAGGTTCGACAAAGACTACGGACTGATAAGCTCTAGAGGTCTCCCCAACTTTCAGTTGGGCCGCCAGTCTATAAATAACTCATGATTGTTGATTTTTATGGATGGGCGCAAGCGGAAATTGACCATTTGGTTAACTTGGCTCAAAGACCTTTGACAGTGTTGGTCAATGCAAAGCAGCTGCCAACTGGGGAGTGGTCGTTCCCCTCCCGCCACGACAACGATGATGATGATGATCAATGGCTGGTCATTCAATTTTGTAAGCAAAGCGTAAACTGATTGTGATCGAAGGCTGCAAGCTTCAGTGTAAGGCCTCACCAGATTGCAGACTGCTGCAGTCACTGAACTTGCAACAACGCCAGCAGGATGAAGAGCGGTAGATGGCCAGGGGCGGAGCAGGGAAGGAGGTGAGCGCACAGGCAAGGGAGACGTCAAAAGGCCAACAAACGCGCACACATACCAAGAGGCGGCACACATGGCCAACATTGTCTGGGGGCCAACTAATAACAAACAACCGGCTTTTGCAGCCAGGCGCGAACAGAGAAAGAAAAGAGTGTGCAACATGGTATTCCTGGGACTTGGAACTCTACCAAGCTTAATAGTTAAAATAATCATATTTTCTCCAGGGAGTTTTGTATATTCTGCATGAAATATTTTAAAAATCAGCTTCGGAAAAATCAATTATCCAAAGAATATATCCTTTTGCCATCTTAATTTACTTAAACTTGCTAGTTTAGCTATACTTTTTCAAGTGCTTGGACTAATGGAATTCCGACTGTATCGGGAGAGAAAGAGTTAATGGGGGGAGGTGTGAGTGAAAGAAAAGTTTGTTTACTTTGGTGGCAGCGATTTTCGTCTGCCACAAAACTCGTTGCTGGGCATGCGCATAAGTCACTCCCAGTTGATGGTTGCTGTGGCCTTAGCTGTTGCTGCTGCTGTTGATGTTGCTGCTGCTGCTGCTGCTGCTGCAAATTGCGCGAATTCCTTGGCAGCCAAGACAGAGCACATCTGTCGTCACATTGGGGCAATTGTCGCTTCGCAACACTGCCTACCCTGGCGAGGTGAAGGCCGCTCCGAAAACCCGATCCAAACTCCACTCTCTGGAGCTGCTCGAAGCCAAGTCTCCAAATAATTGTAAGGCCCGCATCCCGGCGTGCGGATTTGAGCCAAGAGCCAGCCGCACTCTCGGCCATAACGAATTCGCCATAATGTGCATTTTATTAGATACCACTCCTCCACTACCACACCACCCCCTCCCCCTTCTCTTGGCCAAACTCCACTTAACTCTGAGTGCATTTTCCGCTTGAACACGATTTCATTTAAATTTTCCTCAAGCATTTTTTCCTTGCCCTTTGGGGGCCTTACTTTTGCCTGAAGGAAGGAAATGCAAAGAGCATGGCTCGAGGTGTTGGATCTTGGCAAATGGCTTAAGGTTGTCAGCCGGCCGTAAAATACGTGCGTTTTTCCAGTTTCGGTAAGAGAGCTGGTCTTACGTAGTGGCGAAGGAAATCACTTTATAGCTCCTCCAAATGATTATGACTCCCTTAGGAGGACTGCAGTAGGATTACAAAATGTATGCAGTAATAACTACGGTAATATTAATCAAGTTAAATGCTTAATAGAATATATTTAAGTGATTTTATAATGGCTTTAATGATTTTAAATTATTTTAAAGAAAAAAGGAAATCATCTTGGGATGGCTCCGCTGCCTGAGAAAACTCTTAAGTTTTAAGTTAAGAAACAAATTCAAAACAAATTCAATTGTTACATTTTATAGGGGTCTTTCAATTAGCTGTAGATCTTCCGTAGGATGCTCGCTAGAGAGCTAAAAAAACTTCCTATCTAATCGGATACATTTTAGTTTGTTAGTCGCAACTGCAACATCCACATTCACAAGGCAGACAGACAATTCCGCTGCCATTTATTTTATTTATTCGAGTTGCCTGGCTTTTCGTGTGGCAACCAAAGCCAAAAGTAACCGCAGCGGTGAGCAAACTGGCTCCAAAGAAATAAAAGTGAAATCTTTTCCCAGAGAGAGAAATTGTTGCATTTAAGCAAAATAAAGTCTCTATTAAGTAGGAAAGTGTTTATTTGCACTGAATACGATACGAGGAGTAGGCAAACAATTGCTCTAAGGTACTCGGTACACTCAAGTATATACAATATCAATTCGGTAATCGGAACCCAACAGATCGGTCACTGTTCGTCGAAACTGTGAAGTAACCTGAACCCATTTATCAAAAATTAAAAAACAAAAATAAAACAAAAAGCGTACGACAGGCCTAAAAAATTATGCGTTAATTAACATGGCAGCTGGATAGCGGATAAAGGCCCGAAATACCGAATGCGAAGGTCTCT